ATGAAATATACAGATTAACATATGTCATGTCAGTGGGCATGGGTCTGAATATAGCACATACCAAACGCTATGGTGGTTAGTGCACATATGGTAGGTTTGTGACATGGAGGCTCATGTGCATATACACTCCAAACACACAATCCAATTTATTTCACAGATCTCCACCTCCTCCACCCTAGTTCCCCTCAAGATCTTGTGTCGTGATTGCTTTCTACATTTTTCTAAAGGGCAGGATATGGAGCAGTAGAGCACACTATGGCCTCTGTGTCTTCTCTGCCTGCCCCTCCTGAGGGAATGGTCATTGTTTCCATTGTGGTCCTCTACCTACCTACCTGCCGTCTGTCCCTGAGCGACATTTAAAAGCCTCCCAGGTTGCTCTCAGGAAACCACAAACCACTGCACTCTCCAACGCTAACTGCCAATCCCTTCTCTCCAACACCCTTCTGGCATAAATATCACTTTTGTAGCAGACGGAAGTGGCTTTTTTTTTTTTGCTGTTGTTCACTGCGGGACCTCCAGGGATTGTAGGAGAGAGAGCTGAGAAATTGACACTTTGAGGCAAACACTGGGAAGGAAGGAAGAAACAAAGGAGTGAATGAAGGACAGGCAGAATGAAAGAAGGGATGGAGAAAAGAAAAATGTGTCTTTATTCAGCTTTTTTTGGCAAAACAGATGAACTCTCATGGCATATGTCACTGCTTTCTTCCTCTGTATACAGAGGTGTGTAACTCACTTCCCCGACTCTGATCATGGCCGACACCTAGTTGGCTTGTAGCCAACACACCTCCTCCCCCAACTACACAAACACACACACACACACACACATACACATACGCACCTTGAAAATATTTACACCATTTGGCTTGGGAGCACACCCTTTACTTTTTTCATTTGAATGCCTATAGCTATGTGCACCTATTTAGATTTTTTAAGAGGCACATTGCATATCAGTGATTTACACTTCAACACCTGCTCTGAAGACACACACACAAGCACATTTTCAAACATTTAATGTGTGGATTCTTGCTATAAAAGGAGGAGGACAGAGGAAACAGGTGAAGAAAGGAGAATGGGTGGGGAGGAAGGATAGATAGAATGAGGAAGGGGAGTGCAGCTGAGGTGGGGGGCCTACTTATAGATGTCTGGAGCCAGGACACTGATCTGGGAGCTGATAGCTGCTGTATAGAGGACCCTCTGCTGACAGTACACACACACACACACACACACACACACAGTTCTCTTTTCTCTGAAATGTTCTTATTTTTGTTCACCCTTTTCCATCATACCCTCCTCCCCCTCTGTCATTTAAACCCTCTCTTTAGTTTGGTCGCTTTCTCTCTCAGACATGATGTTTACAGTGTGACCCTCGGTCGCTCGTGATAGGAATCGTTCCATCAGCTTAATGGCTAAATGACACACACACAATTGTTACAGCCATGGTCACCACAGAGAGGCAGGATGTTGTCTCCTGCATGTTTATATACAGTGTGTGTGTGTGTGTGGTTGCTTGCCTAATCTAAACTACCTCTTCAAAATCTTCTATCATACATTTCGATGTCACCGATTTCTAATCCTTACCTTTTTTTTGTTGGTCTTTTACTCTTGTTCTTAATTTTCTCTCCTTTCATTTTCCTTGTTTCCCCTGAACTTGGTAGAAAACCTTGTGTCAAAATTTCTCAATCAGTCCTAGACTCAATTTGTACTAACTCTACAGCGCTGCCGAACCCTTAGCATCAATAACTGAGCTACAGTAAACAAGCATAATGTAACCTTCAGTGTGAATTAATGATATGCTAACTCAGCGTCACAGAGTTTGCACTGCACTTCAGTTTTGTTTATTTTCTTGAAGAGGTTCCACACAGAACTTTTTGATGGATGTAGTCTTTGCATGTTTCTACTGTTTGATTTGGCACTGTAGTAAAATGATATACTGACCTGGTTATCACATTATTTCCAGGTGCCATAAAAGCAAGGGAAAGTAGTGGCTTTTTCTTTTAAAGACAAAACCATTGTCATATGAAATATTTGGTTTTTGTTTATTTAATGACTATTCAAATATTCAAAAATCACTGCCCATCCCTAGCGCACAGTGTTCTCAAACTTAACTCCCATTAACACACATGGACATACATGTGACCCACACCCTTGGGCACAGTTTTCAATCTGATATCAAAGAGAAGGTCTTTCAAAACATCTCACATGACAGTTCATTTTATGTGTTGCCCACGGAAACGCTTACTGTCATAAATCTCTACTCACTCTGCTTCTAGTTGCTCGGAGCGTCTTTGCCTCTGATTTGTTAAATTCCTTTGCAGACTCAACCTGCATTTGCCTAAATGTGATGTTGCAAAAGTGTTTGCTGATTATGATTGAATTATGCTTCAACCTATATGGAGTGGAGCCATCCAAGTGTGAAATGAAGCACTAGAAAAGAAAGTGAATCGTGCACTGCCTGGATTGTCCTCTAGGTAGCTGCAGCATGTACTGTACAGTTGCACTCACTTTGAAGAGCTCTCAGATGACATGGGTGAATGATGTCATATACTTTCACAGCATTGTGTGGATGTGGTTTGTAATGTGGACTGTTCCCAAGCAAATCCCTGTGACCTCAGCATTCTACAGCATGTGCTGAGATGCTAATCCAGCTTCCACAGCACAGTAGGGCACTTTGGACGGTTTGACAGATCCTGGTGGGGATTGGACCAGCTCTCCGCTGTTGTAACCTTTCATACTCCAGGATGAAATGAGAAACTGTAGCTTGCTGTGCTGGGTTATGAATTATGTGTGTTTATCCATGTGGGCAGGGTTAGGGAGGGGAGATTGTTTTGTTTGTGTTAGATGAGTTTTATCACAGAGGCAAAACAGAAATCTGTGACTCTTGTGCATGGTATCTTAAACTATTGCGGAATCCCTCCTGCTGTCTCATTTTCCCTTCTTCTCTCCTCTGCAGTAATGTATAAAACTGTGTGTGTGTGCAATTGGTTGCTGAGTTCATTTATCTTATTTTAAATCAGTCCTCAAACCCATTAATTAGTCCAGTTCCACCATTAGGTAACTAAGGGAAATGAACAATTACTGCTGTGATTGCAGGGAGTAATGTGTGTCTGTGCGTATATCTGTGTGTGTGTCTTTGTTTGTGGGGACGGAACACTGGGACCACACTGCTTTATGGGGACCAGAAGTCACTTGTGGCGACCAGAGGCTGGGCCCCATGACTAATTCATTGAATATGTTGAATGTTAGGGAAAGGGTTAACATTAGGCAAGTAGCGGTTCTGGCTAAGGTTAGGGTAAGTCTCCTGAAAATGAATGTGAGTTTATGTACAATCCTGCAAATGATAAGTGCAAGGATGTATGTGTTTGTATACGATTATACTGGACCATTTAAAAACTGTGTAGATTTCCATAGAAGGGTCTCAAGTCATCACTGTTTTTGTTTGAGAGGACAGAGCAGCTCAACACTCTCCCCCTCAGATTCAGCTACCTGTTCTCATAGGTAGAGTGACTCCTGGATGGACTTACAGACCATATTTCACCACTATAAATCTGGAAGTGTTTTAACTTGCAAATGGTCACAGTGAAATCTGGCCATTGTGGACTTCCACGTAAAGTTATAATTTAAGTCTAACTTTGTCTGATCTGATCTGATCTTTCATCGCTTCCTCTAAATTCTGTCCCTCCACTCCTGTAATACTTGTGGAGCCCCTAGTGATCAACTGCTCTATCATACCCTGTTTCCTGGAATTGACTTCAATCATTTCAATATCACTTATCACAAAGTGTCTCTAATCTGTCCTCAGAGGTTTACACAGTGAAGCAGTTTAGAAGACCTGGCTGGAAGACACAGCAGCTGCTCAGATAATCAGGCTTTTATATAGTATAAGCACAAAGCGTTTCTTATTGCCCCTAAAAATTCCTGGTGATAAAGTGGTTTTAATTCCTGCAACTCATTATAATAAAAATGTTGATGAATAATGTAAATAATCGTGTTTTTTAATGGATTTTACAGTATATTTATCAGTGTGTTACACTCTAGCCGACCTTTCAAACACCACACACTAATCACATTTAAGAATGCCATTAGCCAACAATTCTTATCTTTGTAACTGCTGAGTTTTGATATTATTATACAGCGACACATACATATGTAGTATAAAACTGGTTGTTGAACGTCTCACTCAAACACATTTAAACAGCTTTGTTCAAACACTTCTGCATTCACACATTCAGATACATACTTATTCAATTCAATTCAGTTTTATTTGTATAGTGCCCAATCTCAACAAAAGTCATCTCAGGACACTTTATTATTATTAATTTTATAGAGGAACAACCCCACAAATCCCTACTTATGTCATGTGCTTGCAGCTTACACATATACTGTATACACAAACACACTGTGCACAAAGGCATACACATGAGCAAACACAGCACTCTCATGCTGGCTCTCCAGTTGGCGCTCGGAAACCTGACACTGTAAGAAGTGGTCCAGTAATTTTGCTACAGTGATCAACACATAGACACATGTTCCCACATGGCCTTGTCTGTTTTTATCTACACGTGTGTTCTGCTGCTGTTTTCTGGACTCTCATGCGACTGACTGATGCCTGCTGCTCTATTTTTAAAAGAAGATCAAATCTCAGCTACACTTCAGTAGCACGAATTAAGGATTTTCATCGATTTTGGCCATCTTTTTTTCATTGGCAAATGAATGGTCAAGACTAACAGTTTGGTTTAATTTGCAGATGTGCTTTCATTTTTCATATGAAACAGATTGGCGCTCAAACATGATGACCAAGATGAGAAGAGATGAGGTTTGGGGATCAAGGGGAAGAATTCAGGATGAGATAAAAAGTGAAATCAGGAAAAAAAAAATGAAGATTGGGGTAAAAGAAACAGGACAGAGTCAGAGGCCCGTAGGTGGAGAGGTTAAGTCTAATGGGATAAGATAACACACCCAGGAAGTCCCTAGCTATTATTACAGTAACATGTGGTACTCACAGGTATGTGGTGAGAGGGCTGAGGTTGGCTGGCACAGACGATAGTCCCAGTTCTGAGCAGTCCACCATCATGAAGATCCCATCTTCTTCACACTGGCATGGAGACGGGCAGACTGGTGCTGCCGGCCCCTGTCCGTACCCCCACGCTTCAGGGGTGGACCCCCATACTCCTCTAGCCACGCAGAGAAGCAGAAGCATAGACAGCATGTCTAACTGTCCACCTGTCTGCATCTACACCTGTAGGGTTTCCTGTCTTTCACCCTCTCTGATGTCTTAAGAGGAAGCTGTGATAAATGAAAAGGTTCCAGATACTCCCCTTCTGTCTCCTGTCTGTCTTCAAAAGCCCTTAACTGTCCTTTTCTCCTGTTCAGGTTTTCCACACTGTGAATCTGTCCCCGTCACACTATCTTGTCATCTCTCTTCACTGTCTGCCTGTCTCTTGGTCACCACTTCATTCTCCAGGGTTAACCTTTATTTTAACTTCTCTCCCTCGTTCCTGTCTTCCCTCTCACTCTGCCCACTCCTGTCTTTCTCCTCCAAACACAGTCACTCTTTCTCCCTGTCTCTCTTTCTCCTTGTATATATCTCTTGCTCTCTGTGTCTCTCTCTCTTTACCTATTGTAGAAGGACTGCATGAGTTGTGAATGAGACACCCTCATTGGCCCATAATTTAGGGATGGGTTGGAGCATCTCCGAAAAGTGGGAGGGGCCCACAATTCTTAAACTCTTCCCTCTCCTTCTCCCTCTCTTCCTTTTTCTCGTTTGCCTAGAAGTTCGCTGTGAAGAGAATGAGTGAGTGTTCACTTTGAGGAAGGAGAAAGGGGCAAGGGAGGGGGTGGCAATACAGTGCAGTGGTCAAGAGTTCTTCTTATTGAACTTTATGAATGGACGTGAGAGACAATGAGTGTTTACCGCAGAAAGAAAAAGGAGAATAAAACCTGTCTCTGGACGATAAGACTGAAGGCCGCGCGTGTTTGGTTGTGTGAGAGAGATGCAGAGGGTCCAATTGTGACTGGGGGGGGGGGTGGCACTTTGGTGAAAATTGAAATTCTTACACTTCAGCACACCCCAGTCTCCAGAAAGAGCAGAATCCAGTGTCTAGTAAGTCACACCTTCTCAGGTTTCTGCCTCTGGAATGTCGCAATCACACACACACAGAAAAACATGTATGTCCACATGAACATGGATAAATAAAAGATTATGAGTGACTGGTGCCAGAGAGTTTGCATATCCATTTCACATATGCACACTCCAGTCTGCAGAGAGAAAAGTGGACTTGTGAAGAAGTGTCAGCTGCCTCGAGCTAGAGCCTTCTCATTTGGAATTGTGAAAATAATCCCATCTGACTTTCCTCCAACACATAAATCTTGCTTGCATAGACCCAGTATTAAAATTTAAAACCGCATACAACTCAACTTCATGTGTTACACAACTAAACTTTACATGCACCATATGGGCACCTCCAAATACAGGTGTTTGTCCCAGCAGCAACCAGGAAAAAGCTGCAAATAGGGAGAGGTAATAATACATTTCTCCAATAAAATAAATGCTTACAAGGCAAAAACTGTAGAGAACGATGATCACAATAAATATGAGAACTTTTAGTAGAAGACCTAGATAATAGCCTAGACAATGTTGTTTTCTTAGCTCCTGAATATCTCAGGCTTGAGGATTTAATTTGTCATTGGCAGCCTGTTATATGCATGCAAAGCAATGTAAATTTTTGACACATAAATTCCCTAAACAGAACTTGAGAAATGTATGCTGCAGAGTAAATGTGTTTAGAATAAGTGCACATCCAGCTATTTGAAAATATAAAGCTTTACATAAAAATGTTTGACTTTCTCTACCCTTCTGGCCAGTCTGTCTTTCTGCTTTCTTTCTTTATCTGCCGTTCTTTGTAGGCTGAATTGTTTCTCATTAATTAATTAACATTCCTATGCCACTATGTTTTCTGAGGGGTCTTTGTTATGGCCCCACAAAAACTCTTTCAGAAAGAACTCTCTCTCTCTTTCTCTCTCTCTCTCTCTCACACACACACACACACACACACACATTCTGTCTCTCTTACTCTCTCATGCTCTCTCACTTTTCTTCCTCTTTGTAGCAATATCAGTTGTTGTTCCTTCTATTTACTTAAAGTTTAAAAATGTATGAACTGTTTTCAAGTGCTGTCCTATGCTGATTTTTTTGCATAATCGCTGTCTCAGATATTTATAGACAGATATACAGACTGTTCACATAAATGCCGCATGTTCGAACACTACACCCATGCACAGCACACACACACACACACACATTTCCACAGGTGCATGACACATATACAGAAGTGTGTATATGTTCTTCATACACCTGTAAACTCTTCAACTCTTTGGACTCTCCGCCTCTTCCCTTCTTGTGTGCAGAGCTCTGTCATCTTTTTACATGCACATTAAATGTCTGGCCTCAGGGGAACCCTAAAAGACATATACTGTAAAATCCTACATGTCTGGTCTCCTGCCTGTCTCCCTCTTTTCTTCTCTTTTGATTTTCTAAGACTCCTTCAATCACAAATATCCATACAACCATGCATGGTGCTCCTTACTGATAGAAAAGTAAGCTACTGTACATACAGTATTTGTTTTCATTGCACCTGTTATGACACAGCTGTGATGGATGTGTCCAAGGTTAAATATGAGTCTTCTGCCACAGGAGTGATTGCAAATTCTCACATCTACCTACCAACACTGCAGGAGGTGGCATCACTTAACACAACATTGTCAGACAGAGGAGAGAAATACTTGTTTGTATTAACTGGATTGAAGAAAGATATATATATATATATATAGGCACAGGAATAATACATTACTGTAACTGAAAGCAGTTAATTATCAAGACTATGTACTTGTGAGAACTTGTGTCAGAATGTCTTAATCAGTCCTAGACTCATTTGTACTAACTCTACAGTGCTGCCGATCCCTTAGCATCAATAACTGAGCTACAGTAAACAAGCATAATGTAACCTTTAGTGTGCCTTCTTACTTCACACAGGCATAACACTGGATTAGTGCGGATAAAGGTTTGAAACCCCCCAAAAATCAAACAAGTTCTTAAAGCACAGCCTGTTCACTGAGTCTGTAAACTTTCAGGATCTTTTTAATGAGGCTTGCACTTTTTGGTGACACACTGTCATATCTATGGTGCAACACTGTAGCATGTATAAATTATATGGTAGTTAATACTGGTTTTGCCTGTAAAATGAAATTATATGATGCAGCAGGATATTGTGATAATATGTTGTGCGTTGATGCTTACCTTCAGCTTGTGTTATGATGCTCTGTATCCCTATATCTGACTAGATGCCCCTTAGTTAGCTGTCAACACAGACTGGTTGCTTAGAATTACTTGCATTTCAATAAACTAAACTGCTTCGTCTAGTAGAAGGATACAACAACTTGACAACTCATCACAGTATGTCACTGTCCAATTTTCCAGCTTAAACACGCATCAGTTCTTCAGAGAATCACCTTCACTCTCTGGATTAGCACATCCAAGCTACTGGATCTTGCTGCTGCTTTTGTCTGTATGATGAAGTTGATGTATTTTAAATCCATCCACTGATGTGAGCCTCTGCTTCAGGCTGGTGTATGTTGCATTTCACTAATTCATGGACTATGTGTGCAGTTCACATATTCAAGATAGGGCCCCAAAAAGGCTTCAGCCCTGCATGGAATGACTGGCTCAAGCACACATGTACATTTGTACATGCCACTGAAAAAAGTATGCATGCACTCATTTTCTCTCTCTCTCTGTCATTTCTCTTTCTCACACACACACACACACACACACACACAGTCAAATAGTCTGCATCAGATCAAAGCCTGTGTTCCCTCCCCACTACTCCCCCATCCTCCCACTCTCTGCTCTGCTGTCTGGGCTGTAAACACTATCCAAGCAACCGCAGCCTTGAAGACACAAAGACAAGTAGCTACCTGACACCTGACACTAACTTGAGAGCGCTCACCATGGTCTACCTGAGAATAAAACACACACACACACACACAAGACTACCTGAGCTCCTTGCAGCAAAAAGAATCCATTCAGGGTGAGAACAGAGAGAGTAGCCGTGCCATCAACCCACACCAAACACACACACTCCATCCTAGCTCACCTCCTCACCCACATTACTTACCCCACCCATACTCTTCCCTCTTACAAAAACCTCTTCCGCAGCCTGCTCCTGCACATCCAACACTTACCTGCCACTCTTTATACCAAAAGTCAAAAGAAGTGTGCACATCTGTACGCATACAGGTATGTCTGTAAATGCATGTTGCATACGTGCCTGTGTTTGCATATGTGCATGCCTGGGCTGTAGGCAATTGAAGCTAATTCATGTATACTCAGCGGAAGCAAGTGAGACACCATGGGTCGCCTCTGGCTGCAACTTACGTAGGTGTGTACTCAGGCTTTTCATGTGAAACCACCTGAAAACCAACAAAAGCTTCTGCTCCTTTCCCTCATCCCACCCCCAATCCCTCTCTTCCTCTCTGCATCTCAGTACAAAGGAAATGAATGAATGAAAAAGAGGAAGAGGATGGGGGGGGGGTAAGAGGATGAGGATGCAAGGGTGCGGCATAGAGGGTGGGGGGTCAGGGTGGGGTGGAATTGGCAAGCCGGTAAGAGAGGGGTGGTGGAGTTATTTTCCTGCTGGTTTGTATGGGATTGTAGTAAGCCTCAAGGGATGTGGTTAGCAAAGCACTTCATCACAAGCTGAAGAAATAGATTTTTGTAACATACATCCAAAACTACTAATGATAAAGCATTTGCAATTTAATGACAACTTTCAAATTAAAATGTCAGTGGTAAAAACTCAGTCATCTTGTAATATATATGGTACAACTAGGATTTGTTGCATTTTCTTCATATGCATGTCAACAGCATTGAGTCCTTTACAATAATTGAGTTTAACACCACAATTTGTGATTACCTTTTACCACCTTTAAAATGATAACTGACTGTGTTGTCGCAGTAATATATTATGCATTGGAAAATTTCTTGTTTGTATTTACTTGTTTGAGATTTACTCTGCTACTGAAAGTAAATCTCAAGATGGCCTGCAGTCAACAATACTAAACAAACTGGACAGACCACAACAATACAGCATCAGCAATAAGTGTATGTTAGACAAATTAAAAATAAGGATATCTGTATGCAAAGCAGCAAAACTAGCAGTCTGCAGCCATGCAATGACACAGTGACACAGCTCACATGATGATATAAGTTGTATAACTAATGAGCATAACAAAAAGCCACTGTCCAAACTGTGAACTCTTCATTTAAAAATGCTCTTGTTGGCTTAAAACTATTTTTAAAATGCTGTTCATCTTAAGAGGACAAATACATTTCAATGCACTTCACCAAAACACTTTTTTTATCAGGATATCTCTGATGCAGCACTTACTGTCATACCAAGACAAAGCTTTCTTGTGCTTTGATCTCCACTCTGCTTGTTTTCTTTGCAGTGACTGTGATATACGAGGCCTAATATGGTGCAATAGGTTGACTAAAGC